TTTTAGAGGTAGTAAAGATGGTTTTAACGATGAAGCATTTTATGATCATTGTGAAAATCAATCTCGTACTGTAATAGTTTTAAGAGTTAAAGGTACAAACGAAATCCTTGGTGGATTTAATCCTTTAGCATGGAATAGAGATCCTGAAAAATGGACAAGATCTGATGATAGTTTTATTTTTTCTTTGAAACGAGTTGATCAAGAATTTGGTGAACCAATTCTTAGTCGTATACAAAATGCTGATCATGCATTATTTTATGATCCTAATTTAACATTTGGTTTTAATTTTGGAGGTGGGGATTTAGGAATGATGAGAAATTATAGTAATGATATTTTATGTTGGTGTCAAAAATTGAATTATGAAAAATCTATTAGAAGTCAAAATGGTGGTTTTTCAATTGACGATTATGAAGTTTTTAAAATATGTGGAAAGAGAACTCGAAAGAATATTTATTGAATTTATTAATCTACGTGTTATCATTTCAAATTATTACTTTATTAATTCATTGCTTTGTCAAAAGAAAAATTGATAATTCTGTTGATAATATGATAATACGTGCTAATAGAAATTTAAATAAATATCTCTATCATAAACAATGATGGAAAAAATTGTTATTAATGAATAAAAAAATGAATGTATTTTTTTTTCAATTGATCGAATTTTGATTCAACATTCATTTGTTCAACATTCATTTGTATTAGACGCAAAAAAGAAGTAAAATTCACGTAAGCTTAATTCTAATCTTTAGTTCTATATACTACCAAATTGCTAATTTTAGTAATTTTATCAATTAACTTGAGATCTGACTATTTTATGATAGAAAAGTTTATATAAATGTTATCATAGGAAATAAAGTATACAAAAAAATTATCACAACCTTGTGTGTTTTTTTATTTTATTTTTATTTTGTTTTAAGAGTGAGGTTATTGACCCATCCAAAAATAAAAAAAAAATTTATTATTGTTGAAAGTAATACTCACTGATAAAATAACATAAAAAAAAAAAAAATACAAATAATCAAATTGGTCTAATCTATATATATGTTTTGTAAATAGGCAGTGTAATGATTTTCATACCGAATACGAACAACAGGAGCTGTTCTCAGATGGATAATTTGTGATTTACAACCATTTAATACTGTAGAAAGTGAAGAATGATTTCTAAATTCTATTTAAAGTAATCGTCATACTATAAGTAGTCACATTACACCCCTTTATCAGAAAAAAAGGAAATAGAATTATTCTAAAATTACTGGTAAAGGCATTGAATGGAACAGCGATATCGATACTTTCGAGACATTATATAATTTTTTTCTTGACATAATCCTAATAACTGTACAGTACACTGGACCTAATATGGCTGATGCCATTATGCAAATTCTTAATGAATTGACAACTACCAAGGCCCTAGCACTAACGATGACAATGCGACTTCAATGACCTCATTAATAATAGCGGAATTGGAAAAAGAATTTAACAATTTAAATTTCGCACATGTATGAAGGGGATCGAACTAGTAATACATCAATCGAACAAATAAGGTCTCTAATGAATTTTCTCAAACCCTCTCAACTTGCAAATGCAAATGATGCTTTAAAACGTTTATGTAAAGCAAAAAAATATTAAATATTTGGGCCCGAACTGGATGTAAAGACGAGATGAAATTCTGTCTATTACATGCTATAAAAATGAAAAAAAACTAGATCCTGTTTTAAGGCTGCTTTCTGTTAATAACCAAGCTGTTGATCAACGATACCCTACTAAAGAAGATTGTGTCAAAATTAATGATTCGATACTTCTTCTGGAACCATTTAAACGTACTACCCGCTACCTTTCAGCATCACGATACCCCACTCATGGAGCTGTTCGTTTTGTTTTTCTTAAGATCAAACTTCTACTTCTGACTTTTCTAATAAGTAAACATAGAGAAATCTTGTATGTAGAGGCGTTAAGGTGAACGTGAAGAGAAAGTTAGAGTTGAAGCGTGAAGTTGTATAGAACATTTACCTACGATATTTAAATATGGAAGAATTTACGCAAATTAAATGATTATTGGATGAAACATTACAAATCTCATCCTTACTTGACCCGAGTAGTGAAATAGAAAAAAATCAAGTCAAAGAAAATAATTTTAAATCTTTCTGGATACACATTAGAGTCATCACATTTATCAATAAATACTGCAATAAATGATTTTAGTTGATGCATAAAATTCCTTTCAATCATTACGAAATAATAGCATACATTTTACATATCGCACGCGCGACAAAGTCGCGCGAGTTCGCGAGTTTCATGTGATAAAATATTCATTTTAGAATATATTCTAAACATTTCATTAAAAATTTCTTAAATCGAATAGTTTATCTCGCGAAATCGCGGGAGCGATAGTTTTATCGCTTCGCGCGAGGTATATCTCTAGGCAGGCGCAGAAAGAATACCCTATTCTAAGTTTAATTGCACGAGATTATTTAGCTATACAAGCTACCAGTGTAGCCAAATTCCAAATAGAGGTTGGAACCGGTTTTATTCCAAAATCCGATTAATCGGTCATATCAACCCGGTTAAATTTCAGGTTAAATTCGATCACATCTGTTTTCATAATAAAAATTAGACGAATGATTTTTCGGCCGATCCGGTTAAATTATTATTTTGGCACAATAGATTCAATAAAAAAAATTGTTGTGTGCGTAATAACAGCTATACGTATCTGGTATGTGCTTACGTAGGGTTGTGTTACGAAAGTTACAATCTTACAATCATGTATTTTTACGTAAATTTCTGTAACGGTAAATGCTGTTTTCATAAATTCTGGGACACCTGATAAAAATTTGCCGAATGATTTTTCGGCCGATTCAATTAAGTTTTTACATGTACTGTAAGATAATTTTATTATAAGGTTGATGTGCGATGCTGTAGCACTAAAATCAGGAACGTAGACAACGATATTTATAATTATCGTTATATGCCAATTCTTACATTAAATCATGAAGCTTTTGATTAGATTTAGCTAATCTTGAAAATTTCTTCATTTATTTTGTTATAATATAAAGTTTTGCATTATGATTTCATTAACTGACTTAGTTTGTAAATCGTGTAGAGCAATTTTAGAAAATATATAGATCGCTAAATCGATATGAAAAATTGAACCTAAATGAAAGGTTTAACAGTATTGTAACTAAAAATTGCATTTATAGGATTTATAGGTTAGTGTAATACCAATTATTGATCATACAATATTCTGATTAAATATAAAATGGAAACTTTATACTTTTTTAATAAAGTAAAACTCAACACACTAAAAATTAAGATAATGATCTATGTTATAAACACAAAATTCAGAATTTGTTAACACAGACATCGGTGTATTATAGCTCCGCCTTCGGACAATCCTATAAAAAGGATTGTGCAAAATTTTTACGTATTATATTCGTGTTGAATAGACAGAATGGCATTTTTTTAGACATTTTTCACACATCTAGAATAAATGTTATATTATATGACACAATCCCTTTTTATAGGGCAAGTTAATTAACAAGAATGTAGATCATTTTGTCATGAGAGTCGATCAATAAAGTAGAGGTAACGGTATTGCGAAGATCAGTAAGCTCTGCCCAGATTTTATAGGGAGTGACATTAAGCAAAACTGTATGGTACAGTTTGATAAAATCACCATACTGATCTGATCAGTCATACCATACCGATCTTCGCAATACCTTTAAATTTTTGTTTGAATACTTACCAAACATGTTGCTGTGTTTAGTTTGTACGAAAAAGACTATCAAGAAATATAAAAAAGGCTCCGAATATAAATTCGACTTTATAATAAATATATTATATGAACAAATGCTAATATTAAAAAAGTTAGATATTAAAAAATCAAAGATTTTAACATTTGGAGGGGAGTCAATAGAAAAAGGACAAATCTTTTCTAAGTAAAAAGTTTTCTTATTAACTTTAAGTATTTCAACAACTATCTAATCAAATTTAATATTTTTTTTTATTTTAATTCTATATAATCCTAAGATTAAAATAAATTTTTATCAAATTTGATTAGATAGTGTTGGTTATTTTAATTTAAAAATTAAAAAAAATTTACTAAAACTGATTTGCTCCTTTTCTATTGACCCCTCCATTTGTCGAAAATGAATTACAAAAGTTTTTTAATACATCCATTTCTTTTAAATGCTTGAGAACTCGATTTGTAAAAGATCTGCTACCACCTAAGTCTTAACAACTTTTTGAATTAATAATCCTTCTAAAGTTTTTTTTTTCATTTGCCAACGATGCTTTAAAGTAGATATGCGTATGTAGTCTTATAATATTCCCTATAAAAAAAATCCCTTGGAAACATTCTGAAATTATCCGATTTTTTGTTTGACAAATCGACTTCGTTTTTAATATTTACAGGATGCTTTATTGGATATACGTTTTTTGTACGATAAGCATTTAATTAAACATTATTTTAACGTCCCGTAATGAAAACAGCATAAGAATAAACCCCTGTTCAGAAAATCGACACCATTCCGAACAAAAATTTATACGTAGGAATTTTATATTAGTCACCTGATCTTAAATTTCATATTGAATCTATTATGCCGAAATCAATAACTTAACCGAATCGGCC